GGGCTGGTTTCATATTCATCAGATCATTTTCTGAGCAAATATTTCTTTTTTTTTTTTGGTGAGCAAATATTTCTTGAAGCCTACTATGTGTAAGAAAATTGTCTCAGTTGTCCAGATGAGGTCTACTTGGTAGACTCATGGAGTTTGGAGCCATGACTGGATCCAGTCTCTGTCCAGTGACTGGATAAGGTGACTCTAGGCAATGAGCCTTGCAGCACTGCAGGGAATAAGTCCTTTCTTCTAGGGGAGTTTAGGGGCTTTGGGTCTGGGAAGCAGACAGATATAGGAGAAGACATGCAAGATGGGGGGAAGAGTGAGAAAATACATAAATAAAATTCGACAAAGTTGCATTTGGATGTTGGACCTGGAAGGGCATGAAGATGAACCACTTCAACATCTTTATTTTCTAGAGAGGTAACCAGTTTCTTTCATCTGGTGTTCTGTTTATTTTCCAAACATTCACTTTGAATATTTTGGTTTTAAACACCACAATTTGAAGTGATAAAACATTGTCAAATATAAACAAAACTGGAGACTATTTAAAGCAGTAAGGACAGATTTTATATTGCAATAAAAAAGAGTCAAGTATAAAATGTTCTCATCCTTGTGGGAAGGAAAGGCAGAAAACAGGCTGAAGTGTACTGGGAAAGACATGAGGAGTAATGGGAATTTGTCTATGTGGGAAGCCATATGGGCCTTGTTAATTGGAGCTTATGTAGATGATACTAGTTTCCTGCTAAGACTTCCATAATGCATCTATAAAGGTACCATTGGAAGGGTACTGTTGTCTTCAATGGAAGCAAGGAGAAATATCATCAACAAAGATTTCTATTAGTCCCAGAAAGAATGGCTGCTATCACGAAATCAACCAATAACAGATGCTGGTGGGGCTGTGGGGAAAGAGGAACACTGCTCCACTGCTGGTGGGAGTGTAGACTGATGCAACCACTGCGCAAATCAGTATGGAGATACCTCAAAGAACTAGGACTGGAAGTCCCATTTGACTCAGCTATTCCCCTGCTGGGTATCTTCCCCAAAGAATTAAAAGAATCATACCACAGTGATATATGTGTACCCATGTTCATAGCAGCACAATTTGTAATAGCTAAAGCTTGAAAGCAGTCCAATTGCCCATCAACTGGAGACTGGATATAGAAAATGTGGTTTTTTAATAAAATGGAGTTCTACTCAGCCATAAAGAATGAGAAACTAGAGACATTTATAGCTAAATGGATGCACATTGAGGTGATACACAAGCGAAATAAATAGGACACACATGTGCAAATACTGAATAGTTCTCTAGTGTGAGAAACTGAAAGTGTAAATAAGGACTAAAAGGTATAATAGATAATGTGAAATAGGAAGAAAAGGGGCAAAGGGGAAGGGGAAGTGGGAAGGGTAGGGGTAAAGAAAGAAGGGAATGGAATTAATGTGAGAAAAAGAAAAAATGGAAACAAAGTCTTTGTAAATAGGGAGGGATGGAGGGGTTGAAGGGAGGGCGGGGGAATGGGAAAAAAAATAAGAACCAAGATGGATTATGTAAAAGTGCAAATTTCCAATGATGAATGTCATTATATTGTATACCTAAAATGTACCAATAAAATTAATTTTTAGAAAGGATTTCTATTAGTACGCACCTCCACCCTGTGCAATATTTATCATGTTCTGGAAATGCAAAATAGTAAAAGACATGAGGCAGAAATCAAGGAATTTTTTACCTGGCTCTCACCTGAAGGAGAAACAAACTTCTGTTTTGTGAATTAGAGCAAGGTGCCCACTAAAGTTAGACCCTTACCCTCCCACAGAGACTGGAAGTGAGAGTTATCTCCTTGAGTGTTTCTATTTTAAAGAGATGGAAGGTAGTTCTGAGGGTAATAGTTTACTAGTTAGAAGACTCACATCTCAAAGGGGCAGAGAAAGAATTTATAATTGCAACTTTCAAAGCAACCGTCTGAGAGGGGCTTCGGGGGGCATATTTGATCTTTGTTGAGATTTGACTAGGAAAAACAATAAATTCTCTGGCAGCCATTATCTTTCTCAGCAGGCATTTAAAGGGGGCCAACCTAGAAGCTGCGTTCAACTTTGATGAAGGACTAAGTCTCTGACAACATTCAGGTGAAAAAAAATATGAACTGTATTACCATGAGATTCCCAGAGACTTCAGACACAATAGTTTGAGATAATAAGTGAAGTAGAAGTTACATTTCTAATGTCATATAGTGAAAGAATAGAATGTACAAGCAGCCAGCTTAAATTAAACCAAAATAATACAAAAAAAAGAATTGGATGAGAAATGCTAGTTTCTCTCATTCTCTCTCTCTTTTACCCAGTTCTCTCCTCCTTTTTTCTTCTTTGTTTTTGAAAGAAAGACTATTACATACTTGGAATATATGGTTAGCTATTTTTTTTAGGTGAGATGACAATAAAGGTACACTTTCTAACTACCTGAAATTATTGTAAACTCCTTACTTCCAAGTCTTATGTCTTCTACTATTTTGCATTTCCAGAGCCTGACGAATATGAAAGTGGGTACTAAGAAAGCTTTTTGTTAATGATGGTGTGATGTTGCATTTTGCTTTCATCAAAGACAATGCTTTCCACTGTAGTTAAGTTATGAAAGTGTTAGTGGGAGGATAGTATCATCCAGTGGGGTTCCAGCTGCTTGAACAATAAAACTTAGCATGTGTGAAACTAGTGGATAGATGTTAATGTACAGGCCATCTTTCTGGCCACAGCTCTTTCTGCTTCAACATCAGAATTTGGATCAAGATACAAAGGAGAATTTAGCTAATGTGTTCATAGAAGAGGGTTGATGACAGAAGAAACTCAATATATTGAAACCCAGGATGAAATAAGAAAGCGGCAAGCAGTAGATTCTGATTCTGCTCTAGCCTGCACTAAGGGAGTTAAAGAGGGAACTCTGCCCCAAACCGTGTGGCTGAGAATGGTCAGTGCCAGGATTTAAAGTCTCTAGATTTCTTATGCACAGATTTGTAGGTTTCTTTTCTCTAGATTTCCTTCTACAATAATTTTTATTTTCCTTTCCAATTTAAGTGTGTATATCTAGGTACAGAGAGACCTTAGACTTCTACTTCCTGTGTTTTGTTTTGCTCCAGAGAGCACATGTGTGTTTAATGTGTCTTCTGAGCTACCAGCCTGGGAACTTTGCCCCTGTCACATGCATAGCAGCAGTTTGCTCCCCTGGCCCCATTTCCTCTGTAGCCTGAGCAGCTGGGCTTTGGTCCCCAGCAGCAGGCTTCTGGGGCACAGAGCTCTCTTTGGCTCTCCTGTGAACAGAAGAAACTTGCCTCCCATAATCTCACTAAGTACCTGCCCTAGCTACTGTGTACAGATTTGTTGCTGCATCTGAGACTAAGCTAGTGTGGCTTGCTGGAAGTGTGGACATTCAACGAAAAGCTTTCCCTGTAAGTGGTGAACTGACTGGCTGGCTCTCACCTTCCTGCCCACTCCTTGCCAATTTTTTTAAACCATGAATAGCAGTTCAATATTTGCTAAGGCTTTTAATTTCTGTTTTTGAATTTCTGGCTTTTGGCCTTTTAGGTAAACTATCTACTCTTTCCCTTTCCTAACTCTAACATTCTATGTAAGTCTGTATGAGGCAGGCTTAACAATTAGATGAAATGTAAGATTTTGTGGAAAGGGTGTTAGGAATGAGATTGAAAGTGGCTTCGGGGGCTTAACACAAGGGGAAAAGGGGGACAGAAAAGGAAAAAAAGGAGACCATGCAAAGGGACATAAGACGGAGCGAGATCATGAGAAATTCAAAAGTTCCTGAATGGAACATTAAGCAAAAGAAAAAATAAGTCAATGTCATATGAATTATAGTGTTTTAAGATTTAACATTTCTGATTATTCTAAAATATCTACCCAAAACTTTGAAGCTGACATTTAACCAGCAAAAACTTGACAATTTTATGTTTTAAATATCAAAGACTAAAATAAAAAATTGTTTTTTCACATAGAATTCTTGTAATTTTTCCTGAAAAAAATGTGTGATCAATCTATTCTTTGCACAGTTCCAGCCAGGAAATTGCATGGATCTGACTCTGTCTCCATTGCATAGCCCCATCCATTCTGTCTGGAACCACTAATTATATAAAGGTACTTATACCACTTGTTTCTGGATTTATTTTTTTATCTATATGAGACCAGTGAAGAGCTTATATAACTGACCGAAAAACCACGAGGATCACTGCTGTGTATGGTGAGCAAATTAGTGAGTAAACCAGTCTAGATGATCCAAATGATTGCTTCAACTAAGTGAGTACCTCCTTGCCTGGGCTCTGATCACATCACTAGCATGGTATCTGTTACCCTGGAAAAACTGTCACTGAATCTTTAATCAGCATCCCTTTCTAAACCTCACTTGGACTCTTCTTCAGAAAAGCATAATCAGGACACATCTTGGTGCCTGTAGTGAGGCAGCTAGTCACTCAGCCAGCCCATCAGACACTGGCTACCTTAGAACAGCCAGATGTTCAGGTAAGAGTCAAGCAACAGGCTGGGGATTTAGCTCAGTGGTTTTGCTGCCTGCTGTGCAAGCGCAAGGACCCGAGTTCGATACCCGATACCAACAACAACAACAAAAGAGTCAAGCAACAAACCCATCCTTCTGCCCAAAGTACCTGACATCTTTTGATTGAGTTCAGTGGTATTTTGTTTAATTTGGTCAAGAATGAAATTGAGTGGTTCAGTATGAAATTTCCCAACTAGTTTTCTGTTTAGCACATTTAGATAACTCATTTCATAATACTGAAAGGCAAAAACAGTTTATCTTCTGGTGCCAACTAGTTTTAATATAATTACTTTCAGTGTCCACTCATCTTGTTTCCCTGAACTAATTGACTCAAATTTACTCTTTAATTTCAGATCTCTGCTCTCCCAGTGGGAACATCACCTCTTCCATACAGGTTCCATGGGTGCCAGAGGCTGTTCACAAAGCCCCTGCTTGCTTACCGAGTGAAACAGTACTATCCTACCTGAGCTCGTTTTCAACCCTGAAACCTTTCTTTCGGGCCAGCTCCATGAGGAAGGCTCTGCGAGTGGTTCCCATTTTCTTCTCCAAAATGAAGAGGACCAAATCTCCAAATCGGATGTTATGAGGACCTGAGGCCATCAAGGTGCCTGTCTGCCTGGGTCTCTTCTTTCGAGGGCCCAAGTGAGCTGTTTGCAGTGGGTCCATGGGAAGAGACTGCTCCAGCTCTGGTTATGCCATCAAGTGATGTCTGCAGGAGTGAGGGGGAGCCTGCTATCCTCCTGAATAGGGACTCTGATGTCATCTTACTAGCAGACTCTGAAGCCAGGGCAGAGCACTGCCCCAGTAACAGCTTCCTGCTGAAGGAAACTCTATCTCTGTTCAGTTCCTCTATCCAATATGGAGTGGTTTTTTTTTTTTTGGTACCGGGGATTGAACTCAGGACCTTGTGCTTGTGAGGCAGGCGTGGCACCACTGAGCTAAATCCCTGGCCCTCCAATATGAAGATTTTAATGAAATTAACTTTTGTTTTCATATGCATAATCTTATCAGCTCCTCAGAATAACCTTAAGAGAAAGGTAGGGAAACATCATTGTTTGCATATTACTTATAATTTCAAAATGTGTTGAGGCCCTTCTGTTGTCTTTATTTATTGATCCTTTTTTAATATCTAGCTCACTTGCATCTCTTCTTCTTAAAGATAATCATATCTGTCACTTGTGTGGGTATTGCATGTTGCCTGTGGTTGCTTTGATTTTACATAAATGGCATTACCACATTTCTCATTCTACTAGTCACCTCTTTTTTTTCACCCTGAACTATACTTTTCAGATTGGTGTTTTACTCCGCTGCTTCAATTGCTCCATAGTGATGGGCATTGTTCCTTATGTAGATGCATTTTATAAATAAGAAAAAATTAAGACTCAGACCATTACTTAAGATCACAGAATAAGGAGCTAAATAAGACCTTGAATTCAATTTTTATGACTTCAAATGCAATATATATTCCAGTGAGCTAAGGTTTTCCGGAGAGTAGTTTGTTATAGAGCTCCAAAATAAATCTTTTTGAGCTGGATTGAAATGATCTTATACTACCATAAAGAGATAATTTCTTAACTTTCTATGCATAATGAAATTTGTGACATTCATCAACACACTTTATAGATCTCATTTTTTCTTATTTTTCTTTTCTTTTTTTCATTTTCTTTTCTTTCTTTTTTTGAGATAAGGTCTCACTGTATGGTTTAGGCTGGTCGTGGACTCACTATGTAGCCCAGGCTGGCCTTTAACTTATGACGATTCTCCAGCCTTAGCTTCCTTAATGCTGGGATTACAGGCATGAGCCACCACATCTGACTAGGCTTCATTTCTTATACACCTGTGTGGCCAAGGCAAGTGCCCACAAGCCTTTGCTGATTGAATCCTCCTGATACCAAGGTAGGGTTGGGACTACCATGCTCATTTATTTAAACACCTTGATCAAGGTGGAAGAGCTACTACGTGGTCACAACTAAGATATGATTAAGCCAAGATCTGAATTAAACTTTGTCTGATTTTAAAGATCTGTGCTCTTAACCACCAAGGAGTCTTCCTCTGTATATCCCTTCCCCAATAACAAATCTGAGCTATGCCCACTAACTTTGGCATATTATTTGGGACTTTTGCTACCTATAACAGCACATGAGCATCTCACCATAACACCAACAGAGCCTTCAAGCATCTGTAAAGCACATTTTATTGCCCAGAAAAGCAAAATCAGAAGTTTTCAAGTGGAGGCAATAGAATAATAGATTTCAGCTCTCTGCAAGTAAAAACATTTTAGTAACTACAGCTGTCAAAAGTACAGTGAGCTGCTTTGTCCAACTGGTACATTGCAGATCATGAAAGTGTTCAAGTAGATGCCAGGCAACTGTTTATTAAAATATTACTGAAGGTATTCAAACATCTGGAATGGAGTTTAATACAGTTCTTTGATCCCAGGAATCTATGATTGCTAGCTGGAGATCAGCACTTGGAGATGAGAACCCATTTGGCCCTTATTGTTAGGTGTTTGGTTGTTGAAGTACTGAAAGCTTCAGTAGCTATGAGTAACTTTTTAGCTACCAGGTGGTCACACAGTACACAAGAGGCAAATGTCTAGCTAGGTGCAGGATTGCTGTGTTCATATCCGGGGTCTAACCACTGAGTGGTAAAGGTAGGCCAAATAAATAGTAAAGGGGACAGGCTAGTAGGACAGAAATGTATCTAAGAGTTCAGACTTTTTTTTTAATGCATGGATTTTCTTATAGAAGAATCTCAAAATATAAATAAAGAGCAAATTAAAAGATAGATAAATGAAAACAGGGAGCTAGGTCTTTCTCAAATGGAAAGGGCATCAAAAGATGAGTGAAGTGAGGGAGGGGAGGAAAAAGAATTGAGATGTGTAATGTGCAGGCACCAACTCCCACAAGGAATGTGATTTTTATGTACTGTAAACATGGGGTAATAAACACTTAAAATAAAGAAAAAATATCTGTCAAACAAATGAATGGACAAATGAAATGCAAAGTTCGATCACAGACTTTGACAGAGCATAACCGCAGGCCACAGGGGATCAACTACGCCTGAAGACTCCTTCCCCAGGTCTCGACCGTCATGTGCTTCACGTGTACAAGTGTGTTTAGTCTGGAAGAACCAAGAAGGCAGGTGCTGCTAGAACCTGCAAGAGCTGTGATGAAGAGAGGCTAAGTCACCTGCCTTTGGCCTCAGAGCCACACAGCCTTGATCTCACTGCAGGCAGATGGCGCTCACTGGTCTACACTTCACCACCACATTGCTACGAGCACCGGGCAGCCCTGCAGGCCACCTGCAAACCGGCCCGTGTGTCCTCTTGGCCTCCACACTCAGCCTCTGTCTGCATTTATCACATTCTGCAGCTGTTCCCCTCATTGGCCCCTTACCCTGTGCTTTGAGGCTGAGCTGGAGTTTGTTTTCAGAGTGCTCATCTTGCTTGCCCTGGCTGCAGGCCCTGGGTCCAGCCTTTTGTCGTCCATTTTGTTTCCTTTGGCCTGCTGGCCTCTGAGTAGAGAGGCTTGAGTCTTTCCTCCTGCCCTGGGCCACACCAGCACCCCAGGCCGGGGTCTCTGCTACTCCTCCGAGTGAGCACAGTCACTGCTCCCCGACACCAGGTCTTCTGAGCAGCTCCCAGGATTCCTGCCTAGGGCACAGGCAAGGCCTGGGAAACGCTGTCATTGCAACTGCACAGAAAACTCGGAGTCTGGGGCGCAAGAGTTCAGCTGTGTACTTGCTCCCTGGGAGATGCTGGCAATGCGCTGACTGCAAGGAGAGTGTGTTCCTCCCTCAGTGTACGCTGGAGTGCCCACTAGGTGGAGAGTACTTAGTACCTAGCCACAGAAGGCAGTGCCGGGACTTGGTTCAGCTGTAAGACCGTGTGTCTCACCAAACGCTCTGAGGAGCTGACTACAGTGAAGATCACCCTGGAGGGAACACACCAGACAAGTTGTAAAACAGACCTTTATTAGTCTGGCCAGACGGCACTCTCCAAGCACCAAGCTTAGAGAGGCGAGAGGCTCAGAGCCTGAGGTCCTTTTATAGGAGATGCTAGGGGGAAGTTGGCAAGCAGAAATACAGAAGCGAAACACAGAAGGAACTTTTACAGATTGTTCTTAAGATAACATATTCAGATATGGAGTTGGGCAAGCACGATGGAACATTACACACACAACAGACCTTCCCGGCACAACAACAAGCACATCCCTGGAACTTGATGTCTACCTGGTGATCCGTAACAGAAGCAGACAAGTTGGGGCCCTATTACAAAATGGAGTAACTGTTGTTCAGTCTCACATCAGCAAGTATCTCACATACTGCTCAGCTCTGCTATTTCTACACACTCGGGCTACAGGGCCAGTACTGGCCTGTGGGAATCCATGCTTTGTGCTTGCATGGCCAGAATGGAAAACAGTAGTTTTAAATGTCAATAAACCTTGCTAAAGGTCCCCCTTCCTAGTTCCTTTCACATGGTGGTGACTGGCCATCTCCTACGCCTGTATAGTTCAGGGGTTAGCCAGGGAAATAGAGACCCTCTAGATCTTGCAGTCAGAAGGAATTTCATACAGCGACTCCACTAGGCACGTGAGAGAAGGATGTAGGAGCCAAATAAAAATACAACCTGTACATTAACAATGGTGGGAAAGCACGGTTATCCCTGGGAGTGCAAGAACAATGGGAATAAATGGGTGATTGGAGAGCCAAGCCCAAGCAGTTCTCACAGGGTCCAGAATTAGAGCGTAGCTGTCTGAGTAGGAGCCCAGAGGGGCTGCAGTGTGGCTGATTTGCAGAGGAGGAGTAGGGGTGAGGGAGGAATTCTCTGGTTCTTCCCTTCTTTGAGTCCTTCAATCGCTCTCCACGCCTCCCATCTGCTGACCCTACTCAGGAGCAAAGGAGACAGGGAGAAGAGCTAAGGGAAAGCAGAGGACCCGCCGGGTCGACAGCAGGCCGGAGATGCCTGCCAGCCAACAACGTGCTCACTACTGCTCGCAGCAGGGAAAGCACACAGTGCTGGTGTGAGAAGCCGGCCCCTGAGGGAGCCACGGACGGACTCCCAAGCTGCTGGCCCTGAGAAGACGTCCTCAGGAGCAGGCGGAGCCACCCGAGGAGGCAGATGTGAGCATGAGCGCAAAGGCAGAGCGACCTGGGCACCGGAAGTGGCGCGGTGAGGTGTCGGCAGCTGCGGGTAGGCAGGGCAAGAGGGAGGCGCCGAATCCAGGCCAGTCAGGACGAGCTCCGAGTGTGCCCCCCACACCCTGCCCTGACTGTGTGTGTGCTCCATACGCAGTCCCGAAGGAGCGACCCCACGTTGTCTAAGCTTCTTGTCCGTAAACCTGGACCCGCCTCTGCTGTCCACACAGCGTAGGATTAGTGAGCGCCGACTGAGCCCCGGAGCTGAGAGAGGCCCGGAAGTCAAGAGTTCAGACTTTTAAGTTAGACTGGCCATAAAAATTCCATCTTCACTACTTGAAGCTGTGACCTTGGGCAGTTTGCATAACCTCTGTAAGCCTCAAAATTCTCCATCTGTAAAGGACTGAGATAGTCTACCCACCCTGCTTGACACAGAAGAAACGCTCTTTATAAATATCATTCAGAAGTAATTTGTGTCTTGATTTAAAGCCATTTCAGTTCATTCTGATCAGATATATGTTTTATAA